CTATTATATTGTTAACAATTATTTATACTAGTAGGCTCGTGCGAAAAATTCGCACAGCATATTGTTATCAAATGCCAAATTAATAAGAAAATAAAATAATGAAACGTATCAAAAGATAAAGAAATCAATTGTTACTATATCCATAAATATAATCCACAAAGGAAACAAAATTAATTTAAATCTTCATTTTTGTTTGGAACCTACATATTTACAAATTTCAATAAGCTGTATCTTTGCGAAAAATTGTCCGATTTCAATGATTTTTTTTTTTCCTTTTGTAGACAATTAAGTAATGCTTTATATAATCAGTGAAAAGTTTGTAATTTTTTAGTTATTCGCAAATAAAGTTTTTTTTTTCATAACTTGTTTGCCTGAATTTTCGGGGTGATTGGAATATTTTTCCCGCCTGAAGGAGAAGGAAGCCTTCGAAATTGGTGGCTCAATCTTGAGATTTGGTGAAAAATTAACGATGATATGGCTTGCCGATCAAAAACATCATCGATAAATAATATAAACTCCTCCTGTTTCGATCATAGAGACCTCAAGTCGACGAAATGAGACATGTATTCAATGACAGTACTACAATTAACGTCAGGTTGTATGGATGCGAACCCCATGCCTTGCGTTATCTCGAAAATGGTACGTTTTTGGGGGACGGAGGATCCGATAGTTCCGGAGGAACTATCCGGGTCTTGCTGTACGCATCAAAATCTTTAAGGTCCAATTTATCCCGCATCGATGTACAGACCTACCACCGTTCCAGTATTGAAGCCTAGCAAAATGTTTGTATCGACTTTATTTATTTTAGAAAGAAAAACAAAAGCGGAGAATACGATTCGCTAACTCCCCGTGAAATTCTGAATCCAACGGTACCCCATTCATGGTATTTGAGCATGGCAGGAGCTTATATTTGGCACAAAACCGATTTCGAGCCTTACTGTAATAATATATGTACGGATTAATTTTAATTATTAAATGGAATTCAATGAAATTGACACTAGGTAATTTATTTACTATTCTCCAAATTTCATCCAAGTGTGGGTCAAATGGAATGCGCCGTTTTTAAACTATAGGCCTGTCAAATAATACATTCCCTGATCTGAAAGCGGAAGTATTTTTTTTGGAGTAGTAGATGAAATTTGATGATTATTTAATTATAGGTTTACCAATCCCTAAATTCCTTCCAAATTTGAGCCAAATCGAACCTGCGGTTTTAGAGATATAAATGTATCAAGACATTTGTGCATATGTAAGAGAAAGTAATGGACAGAATTCAATAAAATTGACACTACATTATTTTTTCACAACTATCTTTCTGTCAACTATGAGGCAAATCGCCATTTCTGAAATATTGGCATATCTAAAAAAATACGTTACGGCGTGCGGAAGTGCTTGGATGGAATTTGATAAAATTGATATAGGACTATCTAGGCATGAACCCGCACAATTCATGAAAATCGGATAAACGGTTGTAGAAGATATGCCCGTTACATCGATATGACTACAGACAGACGGACACCGAACCAAGTTTGATCCTTAATGTCTGAAAAGTGAAACGCAAATGGAAATTTTTGATTCTGAGCACAAAATTTTCTTTAACCTGTCGCAGGAACACAATGCTTCCCTACCTTGGATAGTAAGGAAGCAAAAATCATAACTTATCAGGTTATAAGTTATCGTCGGCGCCATGTTCAAATAACGAATGTGAACAATCACATTTTTCAATTTCTTTCGTTCACCACTTTCGTTCACTCCATGCCCACCTCGTGGCGAAATGTCGAATCTAAAGGAGGACCGAAAAAGGAAAATCAGTAATGTCATTTTTACGAAGTAATAGTTTTGTTATAAATGTAGCAACATGTAATAATTAATAACCATCATCGAAAGTTCACGCTATGCAAATTCACACCCGTTACTTCAACATGGTGCCGACGATATGGAGTATTATACTGGAAATATAATCAATTAATTATACTTAAATTAAGCACTATAGATTATTTCATTAATTATCGTTTTATCGGTTTATTTATAATTTTTGATCGTCTGCTTCCTTCATACTATATTACTAAACTAAATGAATAAAACTTGACTTTTTAAATTTCTTCGATAGGAATAAACATTTTTAATAAAGATACTACAAAACATATGAATATATTAATATTAAATCAAATGGGGAGTGTTCCCAGTTTTTCACAGCCGTTTTTAAACACTATTGAAGGTCTTCCTGGCCAGTGAATTTGCAATGTTAATTAAAATATATTTAGTATTCTTCCTGAGTCACTTCCAGCATATAAACATCACAGGCTTGGCAATTTTTTTTTTTAAAGTTAAACATAGAATAAAATTTATTTCGGACGATATTATTCCTAGCCTTTTTCTGACGAAGGTTCTTGAAGGACGTATTTATAAATAGAAATACCTTTCTATAAGATTACGCAAATCTAATCTTTTAGAGATGTTGGTTTAGGATTGCTTTAAGGAATGCAGGCGAGGAATAAAATAGAAACTATTTTCTTTTCCACTCAAATTAACAATATGTTAGTTTTTAACATAAATAACACCCTCTAAACATAAAATCTGTCTGAAGGAATACTGTGGAGTACACAATCAGGCAACAAAAATAATATATATATATATATATATATATATATATATATATATATATATATATATATATATATATATATATACACACACACACATATAAAGGTTAATGTATAAGATAGGTAATAATCGTCGATATAGAAACACTGTAAAAACCAAATACCTTACATTAATATATTGAGCATACAAATGTAAAAATTACTGTTATACGTAAATAGCAACAAAAAAAAAATGTTTGTTTATGTAATTTTTAGAATTGTTATTTATATACGGTTCTCAGCCTTAATGATGGATCTAGAGCTGGCCGAAACGTCATTTTTAAGATTATACAATAAATAAAAACAGTTGGTGATAAAAATCATAGTATTTAAAAGAATAAAACTACTTCTCATTTTCCATTAAAAATAAGAATATATCGGTAAATTTCTTCCGGTATGAATAAAGCTGCCTAGGGAAATGTAAAATAAGAAAAAACATTGTAATATTTATGGGAAAGAAAGCTTATCCGCTTTAAGCTTTTCATAAAGGAATCTCGTTAACCTTAATGGAGGGATCTCATTTAAATCCTCATTAATAAGCGGATTTAGCCAAACATTAAACCAACACAACAATGTAACAATGTTAATTTTGTTGTTTAAACATCAAAAATCCAAACGTTAAGTGGCCCAACTAAAATCGAAGGGGTAATGCCCAACTCATAAGCTTTTATTTTAGCCAATATTCGAAGCATTCGGCACAAAATGTAGTCATCACTAAATATTTATCGTCTAGTGGACCGTTCTATTTCAAATCGTCCCTCCAAAAATTAATATGAAACCTATAATAATTATCATTTTTCATAACTTCTATTCGCCATCCTTATTAATCATGCAAATTTTTATTTCGAAATCATAAGTACTTCTTGAGAAATTAAGTTTCGAAAATTTTTGAAAAATTATGTTTAGTAATTTAAAAAAAATTTCTGAAAGTAAAAAAAAATCTAATTTTTCTTCATATTAAACTAATTTTAGAACAAAAAAGTTATACAATTTTAAATAATTAAATTGAATTTTAATTAGAATCAAAGCAGCATTATCTATTAAATGGGTACAATCAGTGCCTCCTCAAACTTGAACTTCAAAAAATATTTCAAAGAGAAATCGTAAAATTTAAAATAATAATTAAGTATCAAAGTATTTGATTAATAACCTTAAATGAGTCAAATCCTGCCATAATTCATTTTAGGTAGGACCAAACAGCAATGACGTTCCGAGACCTCAAAAAACAGGTACCATAAAAGAACTCGAGGGACAGTTCCACACCGAGGTATCCCGACTAAGCCTGGGAGCTGTGGACAATTTTCTCTGAGAGACAGGACAACTAATGTTCTATTTTTAAATGCTCTTATCTGACCTTAACTATATTAACTCCCCAAAACATAAAGTTTTCAATCTTACTTTGCCTTTTAAGCAAAATATTTTTTTAAAAATATACATAATTTGCACTTTTTTTTAATAGCGAAGAATAGGTTTTTACATAACAAAGAAAAATAAATGTACTTCTAGTTGAGGATTGATAGGTCACCTCTAAGCACACGTTGAGTCTTATTTATGCACAATGAGAATCATTTAATAGATCATATTAGGTGTCATCTAAAATGCCTCGTCAAAGGCAGTAAGCAGTGGAATTATTGTTATAAAAAACTGAAAATATCAATAAATCAACAGTCGAATTTCCATATCAGGAGATCGCCACACAGTTCACAATCTTTTTGTCATCAGGACCTCATGGGAAATGTTTTAATCGTCTTCATATTCATTCTGCGACAGTGCCGCACTAACCGGGGAACAAGGCGAAACACTTTGTAAATAAACTACGAATAATTTTAAAATGAATTTATTATTATCTTACGTTTCTCAGGCCAAACACTGATGAAGGCCATCTATGAGATTTGTAACATCCGGATAAAAATAATTAAAACAACAGAATGAAATGTAGTAGTATTCACTCACCCAATACGGAAATTAATAAGCTTGATTAATAATAAAGAAATCATAAGTATTAATAATAAAAAGACTTTATCAACTCTAAAGTGTTCATAAAATATGGCAGATCAAACAAAAAAATGTGTACAACTTGCGTACAACCTCACAAATTATTTATAATTATTTTTTGTTTGTAATTTCTAGATTTGTGAAAATGTACTATAAAGCAAATACATGCAACAATAGATCCCTTCCATAACGTGTAGTATTCCAATAGGAAGTTATGTCTGAAGGACCGTCAACCAAACTAACGATATTATTTGCTGGCCCTGCCAAAGGTGAACTATACAACAACAAAACAATGGGATGGGAAAACCTTGGAGCTTATTGAAACAACATCAACATCAACAACAAAGCGTCGCCTTCGAGATATCACTCGAGGAGCACGGCACCTTGGACCTCCGATGAATATTCAAAGCTGATGGTAATAAAGGCAACCTCGCTAATGGCTCTCGTTAATTTGTAGTCTATTGTTAGTCCGCGGAGGAATTCGCCAAACATCCAAGGCCGGCGTCTTAGCCTCAAGCGACTTGATATTAAATAGCGAGCTGCATAGCTATAATGTACAACATGACACTTCTAAACTATAACAACATGGTTAGGCACGTTCTATCTGAGTAGATTCCTAACTTGAATAGCGTTCGTTTTGATATGGTTGTAATAGTCTCAAAACTCTAAAATAATGCAACCTCTAATAGTTGGACAAAAATCGATTAAAAAGAAGAGAATTTCGTTATCAATTAAAATCTTTACTAATGCTTTGACGTTTGACAATTTTGTTTTTAAAAATACCAAGATTGATTTCACTTGTTTTATACCTGCTGTTATTTGAATTTTACGTCTCTATTTCTCTTTTTATCTTTATAATTTACCTCTCCCTTTGTATATCTATACCATATTTATTTCGAATTTCATTTTAGGCTCGATGATCATTCATAAGCTTGGGTCGAAACGTCAGCAACCATGACAAAATATAAGACTGATTATCCACCATTAAAAAAAAGAATATAATTGAAAAAGAAAATATTTTCAACTTACATATTAATATTTGTTAATATAAGTGATTAGTATCAATTGTTATATATTGCAATATGGATAGTGTGTTTATCATAAGGATAGCACATTTAATCTTACACCAAGAGGTCTCCAGACGACTAAGAAAAATATTTATTTCACAAATGTATTCTTATTCAAATGTTAATTCCGTATTAATTTAAGGAGCACAAGACAAATAACAACAAAATTTTGTTTTGATCTAAAATTAAGAATGTATAATTTGGTGAGTTGGGATACTTTTCATGTAATTAATTGCTGCCTTGAAGAGATGTAAATTAAGTTGAAATAAGAGTTGCTATTCGCGAGCTGATCCGGGTTCATCCTTCTATGAACGGGCCTCATTAACCGATCCTTAATGGAAGAGGGCTCATTTAAATCATTAACAATCAGCAGGTTTATACCCGGCCAACTCAGCTGATGCAACAATGCAGATTTTGTTGTTGTTTTGGAGGAAAAGTATACAAATGTTGACCATGCTCACCCCTGACCTTTTGTCTCTGAACGGTAACTTTTGGCCGGACATATTGATCCATTTGGTTCCCTTCCCTGCCTCTATAAATACCGTGGAAGGACCGGCTAAATATTTACGTCCGCCAGTCCTTCAGCAGCCAAGCCCAAATCATCATCATCAAACCTGGCAAAATTCAATATCACCGATATCTTTTGGGTACATTAGATAGTACTCTGATAATCGATTTAAGCTGCAGATAACGTAGATGGGCTAAACAAATACAGGCACTGGTCACTTTCGTTAATCCAAGATCACACAGAGCACGCTGCACTCGGATTTCCGGAAAATCCCACAGACCATCGGAAAATCAAAGATGAATTATTGTTTGTAAATTCTAAGAGGGAAATTTGTATTAAATTGTAAAAGTCGATAATAATTGTTAAAATAAAAATAATTTTAGGATTCCGAGCTGATAATCGAGTTATTAACTACGAGATGGGCGGGGTGGCCGAATGGACTAACACGTGTGTACTGCCCCGTGCGTTGCACGCCAACCTGATAACCGAACTATAGATAATAAAATAACGACGAGTTCGCGTCCCGGTACCGGTGGGTTTTTTTAACTCAGGCATTAGTCCTCCGCCCTCACCCCCCTGGCCCCGGAATAGTCCGTATAGCCTAAAATACAAGATATGAGAAGAGTAAAAAAACGTTATAAACTAAGAATAACAATAATATCGGTGCTAAAATTTGTTACAGCTATCAACATTTGCTCTGTATATTATTTTATCATGTTTTTTTTATTAAACATTTTTATTAAAGATATTTTCAATGTTCTGAATTCAGTATCTACTAGGGAAGAGGGGGATTTCAATTTGATTTTGAAAAGTTTATATGAAAAAAAAATGCAATACTACAACCCATGAACGGTCTCGGTAATACGATTTCTTCGTCGACGGTTGTGCAAGGTGATTTCACCAAGATCACGCTCAATTGCCAGGTTTCTCCCGTTAAGTAATGATTTAATTAAGGATACCCACTTCACAGAAGCTGGGTTATACCCCAGGAGAGTTTCCCGATGAAACAGAAAAAATAATTTATCTGTCATCAAACGGTCTCGAACCTGGGACCTTGAACATTGGAAATCATCGCCCTGCCACTGAGCTAACCCACATACATAGGCTTAACTACATAATTATTTTTCTATATTTATTCAATTATTATACCTATTTCCTCCCTATCTATCAATGTGATAAAAATCGAAAGTTAATATTAAGTGAATTTTCAAATAAAATGAATACAAAAAAAAAAAAAATGGATTATAAAGAATATACCCTAACCTAAACTAAACAAAAAGTGTAAGTCAAGCACCTGATTCAAATGTAACCAAGATCGTCAATAATCGGCTACTATCGGAATTTATCGGGTATCTCGGAATAGTCATATCGGGCTCAAAACATTTTTTTTTTTTTTTTTTTTTATCTCGTTTTGAAAAATTATCCATTATATTTCGTGTTTATCTTGGTTCATGCTTGAACCAATGAGGAACGGTTTTACAATATTTTATGTTGGATTTAATCAGTGTTGTAAAATAAGTTGTTAAAACATAATTAACGAGAAAAGTCTTTGTAAAATTTAAGTATGTTTAATACTTCCCATAATACAGATTTTTTAAAATAATTAAATTTTGGCTCAAATTTTAATATGATGGATATCATCTAATAAAAATATCATCAACATCTAATAAAAACTTAATGCACAATACCAAAAGTTTGGCCTTTTGAGAGACCGATTTCTGTCGTGATGAAACTTGCAATAGCACAGGAAATGAAGCTTTTCTAAATTCATAAGACTGGGAATTCTGAATTCTCCATATGACGTAGGTAGCGAATTGACAATAAAAATTCCCATTTCTGACCTCGACACCTCAAAGTCATGCGCAGAGGGAACCAGGATCTTCACTCGCCAGCTAAATTATACACAATTTCATCAGTTTCACAAGTCTACGAAGTATTTTTTGTATTAACGACTTGATAATATGTTGTTTTGCATTTAAATGAAAAGTCATAAATTAGTAAAATGCAAAAATTGTTGTTCAATAATACCACCCTCACTATGACACAATGAAGCCTCATTCAAGACAACGCCTCAGGCTTCTGTACCGAGGTAGAAGAGGAATATGAAAAAATGGCCCGTAACAGATAATATTTTGAAAATGCTGCGTACTAAATTCTTTTTCCTAGTCACTTAAGCATCTAATAAATAATATTCACAGACAGACAATACTGTAACAGAACAATAGTAATAACCCAGCGAGCGATTGGAGATGTTCCTTCGCCAGCTGATCCCTCGGTGCGTAGAGGAAGGTATCGAAGCTATGATAAATGTTATTTCTAGAACTAATTAGCACTTCCAATAAACAAATAATCCTTTTAGCGAGGAGCCATTAGCGCCAACTTGACAAGAGCAACTTTCCCTAGTGTACCGCTGCAATTAGAATAAGGCGAAGGGGCGGGCTCCCTGTCCCAATAGTCTGCCAAAACTGGTTTCTAACCCTTCATTATCACCAATTTGTGAATGTTGCGGCTGAGTGTCCTTCATTTTTAACACTGCCAATATTTCCCGCACTCATCCCATACCCGGGAAAAACCCGTATGGACCGAAGGGGCGAAAAAGTAAACGGTGGTAAACCTCCACTGTGATTGCAATGTTAATTATATAATAATAGATTTGTTATTTTATAAGTCTTTCGGTGTTTCTAAAGTCGATCTGATGTTCAAATGGATTATATACCAAATTCGTAAATGCATTAAATTATTTTTAAAACCTAAGTTGCACATAGACCTTATTACAAACAATACATTCGTAGCGGCCAAAAATACCCACTACTTTAGTAGTTCTTGGTACAGACCCCTTTTATCAAATTATTAACATCCGGCTGAAACTTCGTCAATAGGTTCATCTCATCCTGACCTACAAATATTTTATTTACGAAAATTCTCGGAATTGGGGTATTTTCAATCAGGAGATGGACAAACTTTGTCTACTTAATTAGGTAGTAAAAACTCGTAAATACCCATTTACTTTCCACTTTAATCGTAAGATAACTTGAGCACAAAGTCGAGAAAAAATGTGGCCTTTAAAAATATTGAGGCGATTGGTGTGACATACACCCCCAAATTGTCAAAATAACGAGGTTATATAGCCCAAACGGCTCAATATTTTCGAAGGCCACATTTTTCCTCGACATTGTACTCAAGTTATCTTATGATTGAAGACGAAAACAAATGGGTATTCACGATTTTGTAGTACCTAATTAAATAAACAATGTTTGCCGATCTCTAGATTGAAAACTCCCCAATTCCGAGAATTTTCGTAAATAAAATATTTGTATGTTACGATGAGATGAAGCTATTTATGAAATTTCGGCTGGATGTTAATAATAATAAATAAAGGGGGCCTGTCTGTACCACCAGCGGTTCCAGGATTTAATTTTTTTTTCATATACATATAACGATAATTATTTTTTAAAAAAAAAAGAGTGAAATTAACTACCTATATGAAATGGTGTTTAAGTGGTTCATGAAGTGCTATTAAATGTAATTAAACGAATAATAATACTTTAAGAGATAGTATTTAATATTTTATTCTGTAAAACATGATTATATTTTACCATTTTGGGGGGGCTTCAGCCCGAAAGCCCCTCCTCCCCGTAGATCCGCCTGTGGTCTGTACCACGGACTATTGAGGATTCCTTCCATATTGATTATGATTATTGGATTATCGAACGAAATTTTATTATTTTTTTATGAGAATACTATCGATTTTTCAAATAAGGCCATCAGGTATCTAATCATAGTAACTTTTGGAATTCGATAGTTTTTATATACTAAGATCACCTTTCCCTACCTAACGTATAACTGATTCTTTTTATCTATTTTGTAGCTAGTATGTAAGCTAGCAATATAAAATATTTAATTCAATTCGAAGCGACCCCACCGCCTCGGCAATGTGGGCCAAGGTGCAGCGACGTATTGGCAGCCGTGGTGAGGCTGGGCTTGAGGTACTTGCGGTCTTGGAAATGATGTCGGGACCTCTGCCATCTCTATTAGTTGCGGTCTCCGGGCTGATGCAAACTTGCTAAAAGTAATCTCATACGGTAATCTCGTACCCCGATGCTCAGAATGGAAATACCAAGAAGAGTAGTAACATAGTATTTCATGTCAGAACATACGAAACATCTCACTGATCATTCCGTCATTCATCTAAACATAAATAGCTTAAAGGTTATTAATTCCTAAAGTTATTAATTCGATACAGATCTTGCCGCAGACTCGTCGGTTCCTGGCCCGGAGAGGAGATCCATGACCTCGTTCTACAACCAGAGGTGAGTGAACGAACCCTGAATGAAGACCATCCCAGCTGGCGATCGATATCATTTCTTCAGGATTCTCATCTGCAGTCTCTGGCGGCAATACTGTCCCACATACCTCCACTCATTTTGTATAATTTATTAATATATACCTCCCATGTTTGTTGGAAACGTAAAGCAATCTGTAGCCAATTTTACTAAACCATGTAAAATAAAATGAGCCAATAGCATTTCATTCATAAACTTGAAAAATAAATGTGATCATTATAAAATAGATAAATATATTTTAAATAAAGTTAATACAAATATTAGACGCTCCGAATATTGAGCAGTTAATTAAATAAAGTAAAAATTTCTAGAATGGATGGCTACATTGCCTCCAAAAAGGACCTTGACATTAAGATGGGTCAAACTCATCCAATAAGGGAAGGTCTTTAAAATTCTTAAAATCATAATCTAATTACTCCACAAAACATAAACTTTCAAAAATTCAGCTAATAGTAATTTAACTAGTTATGGCAAAATAATTAATAAACTAAGACAAATGTTTCTTCTAAATGTAATCTTGATTATTAACTTATTAGGTTGAAAAAACAAATGGCCTCTAGCAGCCTCCACTTTCTTATTGAATTTGCAACCTATTACTTAATCTTTAAATATTAGTATACCTAGGACTAACAACTTGAAATGGAACAATTTAAATATAAAATTTTGAATTTCTATTATTATATTTTCAATCATAATAGCTCATGTATTTTAATCAATACTTTAACAAAAAATGAATAGTTTAACAATTTTCAATATCTTTTGTATTTTTGAATCGAATACCCAACATTTAAAATTATATTTCATTAAAAATTTATAATAAGATTAATAAATTTCAATGATTTTTGTATACTTTAGTAAATAATTAAATAATAAATATTACAAGTGCACTAATTTAATTGTTTTAATCCTTCTTAACTGAAACAGAATCTAGTGAAATACTTCAAGTCTATTATTATCTGAGTAATGCTTTTGAGTATTGCGCAACCACAAATAAACACTCCAAATTCTCTTAAAGAGATTAATTTAGGGAAAATCATTTTTAAAAGAATTTAATGAAAAACCAAAAACATATATAAGATTGAATAAATTACCTCTGGTCATAATTAGGTACAATAAATTCTTCTGACATTGAAAATAGTTGCTTTCAAAACATACTTAATCATTTGTAAAACAATTATTTAAAACAGTGCACAGTAAGATAACAAATGATCCCAAAACTGAATAAATGGTATTAACTTTATCATTTAATTATCACAAATTAGGAATTGACACTTTTTAAAAACACTAATACAGCCTTAAAAAAATGAGCAAATTGAGAGAGAAATCACAATGCTGCCAACACCAGATTATAACAATTACAAATTATTCCACTTAATAAAATATGTTCTAATGCAACTACTTTACTGCATTAGATTAAATTAAATAGTAATTCCGGGAAAAAACTAATCAAAAAGAAAAAAATCAAATAAATTATCATTGTATGTTAGTGTTAATTAAAAGAATAAAAAAAGGAAGATAAGTTTGTTATCAACGCCTTTTAAATTTGATACCCTCTTTCCCACAAAAATGAAGAATATGTAAATATTTTTATTTCTATATATTTTCAATTAAAACAGAATGTAAAGGGAGTGGTATTTTATTGTCATTGCAAGTTTAACTTATAGATTCCTATTGAATCAACAATATAAATCATACCTTTTTGACTGCAGCAATGAAATAAATTGCATAAAACAGATAATCACAGGCAAATCAATTCGGATTCAGAATTGATTTAAAAAACCAGGCAGTAATCTAAATTTAGAAAATGAATCTTGAGGAGAGTTAGGAAGTCTTACGTTAATTCAATATATTGCTTGGAAACATACCAGCTATGAGATAGTTACTAGAGAAAAATGAAATACAAAAATACCAATACCCTAACATTGTGGAGCTGGTAGTTTAATATAACAAAACTTAAATTAATCCACCTTATAAATATATCTGTATTGGTCAATTGTTGGCAGAAATATTAAACTTATCACAAATAAAAACAACCCAAAAGAAAACCTGTTAATATAAGCTCAGTTGAGTTAGAGATAAGATGACAAATTCTGCATTAAAAAAAAACAATAAACAACCATATTCAAATAAAATACTTTAATATTTAAAGACTGCATTCATGAGTGTTCTTCGTAAGACAGAATTATAGTTCTGGTGAAAAATTGATTAAACATAATGACAAATAGTTGAAATCGTTAAAGAAAAAAAACACTGATATTGAAATTTATATTTGATGTTTCAAAATTATAGAAAATGAGCTCTAAGCTGTGGAGATCTTACCTTAAAACTCTTTTTTACATTAAATTCCTTGCTACAAATAAGAGATGTTCAGCTTGCTGTTGCATTTAACACTCCGTTCTTACACACAATAAAAAATTATCATACAACTGATTATACTAACTATAGGATCTTGCAGATAAAACCATATGTTTCAAGATAAAATAAAAACTAAGTGAAACTGACACTGAAATTCAGGAACCACTCGCCTGTTAGCTATTAACTAAAAATAAAAATAACTGAACAGAAAAATGAATGAATACTTTCTAAAAATGATCGGGCTCGCTTAAACGAAATTGAAACAACCTAAACCTTACAGGCTCAGGCCAGAACACTGAGTAAATCAAAACATATCAGTGCCCACTGCTTACCTGATATCGGCAGTTCCACCACCTCACGGGTTATACATCACTAACCTGACAGCGGTCATCATAAAAAGAAGCATCAACTGATAAGACAAATCATACATTACCTTATTACTAAGTACTAATTTCATAATATTCCTTTATCATTATCAAAATATGACACAGAAAATATTAGTAAAAAAAAACAACAATGGACCAAAGGCAAGGATAAAGGATTAGGTTCTGAAGATGGTACAGAACAAAACACTACAGACTTCTTAATTTTATCATTCATTCTATGCTTTAAACAACTTGAACTTTTTAAAATAGTTCTGCACATCTGATTTCGGATATGGTTTCACAACTAGACAAGTAGGTATGTTTTCTGGCTGTTCAATCCATAACTTGTGTTTAATTTCATTTTCATTCAACTTTTCAGACAACTTTTTCATCATATCTTCATTAGGAACCTATAAGAAAGTCAATTCAATAATCCAAGATATATATATAAATATAAGACAAATAATGTTAAGTTATTGGCAGTTGTTTCAAATGTAACATACCTCCAGAACAACTTTGTGCATGCTATCCAATTCACTTAAATATTTTTGGGTATATTCATCATTATAGAACAAATGTATGACAGCAGAGCAGGCATGACAGGCTTGTGCAATGACAGCTCCAACTGGCCAGTTTAAAGACGTCAATAGATCACTCCTCACGAGAACATATTGCACTATTTGCGATGTCATTCTAAATTATTCCACTTAAAAAGAAATTAAATAAATAGTATAACTCAGTATGACCTTTCTTGTCAACGTATCAACATGTAACCTAAAAAAGGTTATATTGAAGTCAATACAAAACAGCATTTAAATTTATTTAGATTTCATATAAAAATATCAATTTAAATTAAAATCCTTTTAATATTACAATAAGTTTTTTAAATTAATAAATAACATAAAATTCAAAATTATGATACTAGAATATACTTATGATTTATATCTAAAAAAAAGTTCATAGCATATTGTTTAAAAAAATATATATTTATCTTTAAATGCTTGATTTTTAATTATTAAATATTCTTCTATAATGATTCTCTGACAGAGTAATTTGATTTCGACAACAAATATTTCAAACTAGAATAAACGTTTTTGAAATGAAGGTAGCCGTGAAAGCAGATTATGTCCATACAGTAGAATTACAAAGACCGATCGAGGAGTTTATTAATCAGATATGGCAAACTATTTAATTTTTGTCCACGTTCATAATGTTTAACCGATATTTTGAGACCCAGAATCATTTATTTTCAGTTCAATATTTATTTTTGCGTTCTTGTTGGTAGTTTATTGATTAGACCGTTGATAAAATATTTAGAAAGTTATGCTTGTAAAAAGTAAGTGTGATTTACTTGTCTTAATATTATTTTGTCATTTCATTCTGCTTGTTTATTATCGTTAGATTTATCCCTAGATTATTTTATATTTCTTTGTTGAACTTTTAAATAAATTAATTTCAACTTTCCATATTGAAATTATTTTTTTGAATTAGTGCTTACTGTCTTTGATTTTTAATAAACTGCAAAACTGTATTAATTTAACTACTCTGGTAGGTTTATTAAATATAATGTGTGGTTTGTTGTAATTTCATTGAATCTTGTATGCTTCATATTTTGTTCTAGAAAACACATCGTTAATTTGTGTCTTCTTAATTCAATTTTAATCAGTTAATCAAAAATTTTAAGTCAGTTTTACTATTATAAATGAACTTCCAAGAAATTTAGATAGATTTATGATAAGAAGATTGTTATAATTTATTTCGAATTTGTTGCATACAATATAGCTTTTATTTAAATAATGAAATTGTAATTGTATATGAATCCTTACACATTTAATAACATGCTTCTCTCCTATTAAATTATAAACAGTTAAGATCCGCAGTAAGTGAACTTTTATTAATACCTTAATTCATTATCAAATGAAATGTCATGGTTAACGGCAGAATTAATACAACTAGATTAGGTTAATCACAATTCATATTTGTTTATATTACTTATGATTTGAATGGATCATGTGGCCCCTCAAACAACCATTGACATAATTTTCTTTCTTAGACCTCGAAGTATTAAAGATTTAAACCTTAAATTTCAGAATGGCATGCACTCAACCCTTTAAGATGTCAACATTATAATTGAGTGTTTATTTAAATAAAGAAACTATAGGTTGTTTCTTGAGTACTATTATTAAGGTCATGAGATACTCCTGGATAATGAGAAAATCAATTGAGATAGACTGATTTCTAATGATTAAATGTTATATTTATTAATGAATTAGAAAAAAAGCCAATAGTTAGAGACATTCTAGAGAAAACTGAATGAGCCCTTTTTTAAAATTTTTTCCTTGAAAATTATTATAAGAATAACTGCTAGAAATGTATCCTATGAATAATAGAGGTGATTGGTTGTTTTGTAGTAGGGTGTTCTAAAACTTATTAATTGGTCATATGTTAGTGATTGTGAGTGAGGAGAAATTTAATTTTCAGTATGTTTCCTTATGAATAATAATGTTTGAGAATATAAGCCTGCCCTGTTTGTTAGATATTACAAAAATGAAGCAATAGTTCAATCAGTAGACAATTGCAACTTGTTAATATTTAAGCATTAATTGATTCTAGATTTATCCCTATGACAGCTTTTTATGTGATTTACTTCATAACTTTTCAAATTTCATGTCAAAGATATATATTGTATATATAAGTAAAAATATATATTAATATGCTACAAGTCCCCATTGATGAAAAAAATGTTTTATTTATACAAAACTAATTTGGTTCCTTTTGTTTTGAATATGAGGATTGTGTCATCATCATGATATTATTCTCAAATACTGTTCTACCGTCAGTACCAGTCTTTCCAATCCTCCTTCAGCTCCCTTCGGCTGTTATCTGTTCCACGTTTCTCCAATGCCTCTCATGCACCATCTTCCCAGCATCTTCTAGTGGTCTCCTTTCCTCACAGGTCTTGTAGATATCCCTGACAGAGCTCACATGATCCATCCTGAAATGATTTCTGAACCATCTTACCTCTGTGTGTCCTTTAGGATGGTCTCTGGTGGATTTAACTTTTAGGCTACCTTTTTTTGTAGCATTCTTTCCTGTCCTCATACATGTTAAATTTTTCTAATGTGATTAGTTCATCTGGAAAGATGTTAATGTTGTAGAGCAAGCTATATATGTTATGTGTATAATATTGATTTACTGATGTAAGTTTAATATAGATTATTTACACTTGACGTAAATTTTAATATCAGTTTTCTAATGAGGAATCTGTTACTTATGAATTTTTTTTAAATTTTATGTTCCATCTGATTTGGTGCTGAAGAAACTAAAACTTTTTTTGGTCAGTTGTTTCTTCTGATAACAGTATCTAGTGTGAGGAACTGACTCATGCCAGGGATTCACTCATTCTATAAATAAATCTTTTTTTATCTCAACTACTGCAAATTTAATTCTTAAATATTTTGATCTCAAAAATAGCTAAAGAACGATAATCAGATTCGATTTGGACATAATAGGTGCCATCTGCCGAATTCATTGAATCTTGATATAATCCTTTCTGACCAAAATTTTCAATACTTGTTATATTAAAAATTAAATAATTAACAAAGGTAAAAAATATCACACAGTTGTATTTAAGATAGTAATGTAAATGTTTTCAATGTATTGTTTCTTCATTTGTTATTTTAATATTGCATTTTTTTTTTTTAATGGTTTTAGATTTAAACGCTGGGTTATTCAGCCTCATAAGAACAATTAAGTTATCTTTAACAAAAAAAAATAATAGCCCAGTGTTTTATTATAGATTAAGATTGTGAAGTTTGTCTATGGCTGAGGGCCAATTGAATAATTCAATCTTGTTCAAGAAATAATAATTTATAGTTTCTATTATTGAACTAAATCGTAAATTTAAAAAATAACACTAATAATGGATGAGCGGTAATTTATTAAAATTTATCAGTTTGATTTCTGTTCTTAATAGGGCCTGACTGATATGATTATGTGTCCGACCTCCAAGTGACCATTGAAAATGGCAGACGACACATCGCAGAGGAAGGCTCTCTGTTTGACATCTTTGGTGTGAAAGGCAGTGTCTGCAAGTAATTAAGTAATGACCTCAATTATTTGTTTGGTGTTTATAAAATATCATATTGATTCCAATCAGAATTATAAAGGACATAATAATATTTTTACCAACACATTACGAAAGTCATGCTAGTACAAAATGATAAATTCTGTTTCTTCCAAGCTAGTACATTTATTCCTAGTACTGTGCCGTGATAAATGTATTTATTTTGTGTATTAAATTTTAGCAGTATATGTTTGTTATTGAATGAATTTATGGTTTATTTTTCGGTCAAATATCTTCTATAATACTTTAGAAGCTTTATTCAATGTTGAGTAGTTGTTTCTAATATTTTTGATTCATGAAATTTCAAAGACAGGAGTCATCCATTTATATTCATTTTGAGACCTTATTATTATTTATTTTTTTTTTCAGTTTTCCATCTGATTTTATTCTTAGATTATATTAATTCTTTTACATAAAATATATTCACTAAACTATGTAGCTCACCTTGAAACTGGGAATTTCCATTAAGCATTAATGTGTTGAAAAAATGTAATTAACTACTGGACATAACCGAGCTCAATGAGTGATAATAGACTGCCTATGCAATGCTTTAATAGACTATGAGCGTTAGATTTGTCTGGAGGATATATTATATATATAAATATGTTTTATCTGAGTACTAAACTGAAAATATAAAAAAAAAATCTACCAAGTAAGGTCAGTATAGCTTCCTCACTGTTTTAATTTGCTAAAAAATATCAATATTAAAATGTCTAAAAATTTTCTTATGAGAATAAAATCTCTGGAAGAAGCCGTTTTCGGAAATTCAATTATCCCTGAACATCTACGGGCTTGATATCCATGAGTTTTGTTGTTCCGCATTTACAGATTGAATATGATAATTCATAATATGAAAAAAAAATTCCAGTGCATACTGAATATGTATCTCGCTAATGTTATTACAAATGGCATATATAAAAATTGAGTGTTTTACAGGAGAGCAAAAAATCAATTATTTTTTTATGATTTATTAGTATAATTTTATATTTTATTGGACTCAGCTATTTTTCGTAGTAGTAGACTACTTATATCTATTGTAGACTACATAATGTCAAAAATAGAATAAAAATTGAAAACTTTTACATACGACCTTTGCACTAATAGTAGTGATCTATACTTAATAGGTATGTTTTCACTCTTAAAATGGATGGAACAAAAAATCCTTAGGAAAAATTCAACTGGTTGTTTGTTCGGAGTTTACGAGACCAATACTTTTCTTCAGTCAGAAGTGCTGGTTAGAATTTAATAAAATTGATATGGAACCATCTATACACCAACCCGCACAATCCCTGGAAAGTTCATGAAAATCGGATAAACGGTAGTAGGTAATATACCCGTCACATCAATTTGACTTCAGACAGACACCGAACCAAATTTGATCCTTGATGTCTGAAACGTGTAATACGCGAGTGAAATTTTTCGTTTCTGAGCACAAAGTTTTTTTTAACCTCGCACGAATACATTAACTTCCCTACCTTCGGTAGTGAGGAAGCAAAATATAATATATATATTTGGACAGGAATTTCTTTTGATAAATAAAATAAATAATTCAAACATGAAATATAT